CCGCCGCGCCCGCCGCCACCGCGCCGCCGCCGCCGCCGCCCGTGGCCACCAGGCGGCCGCGGACCAGGCAGCCCTCGGGGAAGGCGGCGGCCGGGTCTTCCAGGAAGCCGTCGCTCATGTTGCTGAGCTTGACGCGCGCGTCGTGGTCGCGGTCCAAGGACACGAACAGGCCCTTGCTGCTGACGTGGCGCACGTAACCTTGGACCTGCGGCGGAGCACAGGAGGGAGCGATGATGTCTTGGACAGGCAAGACAGAGCTTTGGCAGCGGCACGTGGCGGGGACAACAGATGATTGATCATGACAAATCCGCCGGGGGCGACGGCGCATGCACGATCGTGGACATCAACATTATCAAGCGGAAGGGTGAGGGGCAGTGGACGTGCCGTGCTGCTGCGCTGGCTTCGGTCACGGATCTGTCCTGGAGACACAAGCCTGCTGAAAGGGTGCCGAGCGAGCGAACAGGCTGGCCCCGCAGCGCCTGCCTTGCTGCCCTGCCGGCTTGCCTGCAACACCACTCTAGCGTTGAGCGATGGATCGCACACAAAGCAGCACCGCCCACCTGGCTCCCCTCCTTCAGCTGCTCCGGCCCCAGCTCCGCCGCCGCCGCCGCCGCCGCCCCCGCCGCCTTCCCGCCGCCCGCCGCTGCCGCTGGCCGCGCCAGCCCCTCCACCACGCCGCCCTCTGACGGCCGCAGCGTCAGCCGCAGCCGCCCGCGCGCGTCGGGGGGGCCGTCGAGCACGCGGGCGCGCACGAAGGTCCCCTCCGCCAGCCCGGCCAGCGCATTGTCTACCCATGAGTCGTGGATGTCGGTCAAAGCAACCAGCCCGAGGGCGTGCCAGCCGAGCTGCACCAGGACGCCGGAGCCGCGCGCCGCCTGGATGCGGCCGAGGAGCAGCTGCCCCGGCGCGGGCAGCGGCGGGGCGCCTGCGGGCGGGCGCAGGGGGGGGGGCAGGGGTGTGGAAAGGAGGCTTTGAGACAAGAGGGGGCGGGGCGCGCCACCAGGCTGGCCCCTGCTGTGGACGTTTGGCTTGATCAACTAGGCTCACAAAAGCAGCAGGCTGCAGCCCTCGGCGCGTGCTGAGGCGAGGCCCGCCAAACGTGCAAATGCACATCCGATCGGTTTGATGGCCACTTTGAATGATGCGAGCAGTACGGCCGCTTTCGAGACGCAGTCACGCTTGTAGTGTGCAGTCAGTACAAGCCGTGAGTTTTGACGAGCAGTCCGATGAGCAGGCCGACGAGCAGTCCGGCCCGCCCCCGCCCCGCCCCTCACCCGCCGCGTGCGGCCGCATCGCCACGTCAGCGCGCAGCGTCAGGTCCAGCTTCTGCCGCTTCGCGTCCACCGCCACAACCGCCGCCGCCAGCGCCTGCCCCACCTTGAAGCGCCCCTGGAACCCCGCCAGCTGGCGAGGCGCATCGCAGGCGTCAAACATGTGGACGCGCCCCTTGGCGGCGGGGCCGAGGGAGAGCCAGAGGGCGTCTGGCCCGACCTCCTGCACCCAGCCGACCACGCGGTCACCGGGGGACAGCTCCGACGGCACGAGCGCCGGCGCCACTTTCTCGCCCTGTGGTATGGGGCGGGCGGGGGCGGGGTTTGAGGGGTCTGGAGTCGGACGCAAGACGGGCGGCGCAGGGCGCACTCGGAGCGGAGGCAAGCAGGAGGTTCGCAGGGGGCGATCTGGGGCGCTCTCCCGGCGGCTCTCCGGCCCCGCGCGCGCGCACTCGCTGATGCGTACTATAGCCCGGGCCGCGGCGGGCGGAGCAAGCAGGGAGGGGCCCGCAGACGAAGCGCGTGCGCGAGCGCCGGCGCACCTTGTGCGCGGCCGCCAGCGCCGACGGCCGCAGGCTGATCTCCACGCCCTTCCCCCGCCGCCCCGCGAGGCCTTTGATGTGTCCGAGGTACGCGGCCGTAACCTTGGACTGCGGCGCGAAGGCCGCGAGGGGGCTCTCGGCGGGCGGGTCTGAGAGGCGCTCTAGGACCTCCCCTATGTGGAGGTGCGCCCTGCCGGCCTGGGGTGATTTTGAAGATGAAGCGTAGGAGGGCTCAGCTGGGCGCGGCTTGTTGGGCAGCGCAGGTTCGGGGAACGGGGAGGTCAGGAGTCGGGCAGCGCAGGGAGTGGGGCGTGGACCGGCGCGTCCGAGCGATGGGCAAAGCGGGGTGCGGCGAGGAGCCGAGCCAGAGCAGAGCGGCAGCGGCGCGCGGCCCCCAACACGCCGACCCTGCGGGGCCACCTCGCCAGGCTTTGATCCCCCGCCAGACAACCCTGCCAGAACATCCTGCCAGGTCACCCTCGCCAGATCCCGCGGTCGGATCACCCCGTCAGATCACCCCACCTTGCCGTACGCCACCTCCAGCCCCAACGGCCCAACCGACACAATCGTGCCGTTGACGATGGCCTCCCGCTCCTCCTGCGCCGCCGCGCCGCCCTCCTTGCCCTTCCCCTTGGCC